TATATATATATATATATATACATACATATATATATATATATACATATATATATAAATATATATATATATATATATAAATATATATTATATATATATATATATATATATATATATATATATATATATATATATATATATATATATATATTATGTATATATATATACATAAATATAAATTTAAGAGAACTTGTTTTTAATGCAAGAACAAATGTAATATATACATAATATATGCATGTTATGTTTTAGTTAAAATGCTAAAGTACACATTAATAAAGAGAGTCCTTGAAATAACCCCCTTTTGCCCGTATGCACGCCTCCAGTCTTGGACGCCATTCCTCGACTGATTTACGCACGGTATCCATGGATAAAGCATCCCATTCTCTGAGAAGTGATCGCTTGAGAGTATCAACGGAAGTGTGAGGCTTGCAGCACACCTTCGCCTCCAGTTTAGACCAGATTGCATAATCCAATGGATTAAGATCTGGTGATGCTGACGGCCAGGCATCCGTGGAGATAAAATCTGGCACATTGGCTGTCAACCACCTCTGTGTTGTCTTTGCTTTGTGCAAAGGGGCACTCTCTTGTTGGAATGACCATTGTTCCCCATTGAACAACGAGTCATTTAAAGGTTTTACCACCTGCTCTAAAATGTCCTCCTGAAAATTTTGCCTGTTAACATGACAAGTTTAAACAAACTTCGCACTTCAATTGGTACTACAGGGTATATATATATATATATATATATATATATATATATATATATATATATATATATATATATATATATATATATATATATATATATATATATATATATATATATATCAGGTATACCGGTATGAAATGAGCGTTTTTTGTGAAAATAAAACACTAATTATTAATGGGAAAGTATAAAACATTTTATTCAAAGTATTGGCCATTGTTTTCTACACATTTTGACCACCTTTCTGGCAATTTGTGGATACCACGCCAATAAAATTGTTCGTTTTTTAAAGCAAACCAACCAGACACCCAATTTTCGACCTCCTTGTAGGAATCAAAGTGCTGCTCAGCCAATGCGTGTCCCATCGATAAAAACAAATGGTAGTCGGAAGGAGCCAAGTCTGGTGAATATGGCGGGTGGGGTAGCAGCTCCCAGCCAAGTGTTTTGATTGTATCCTGAACCGGTTTTGCTTTGTGTGCAGGTGTGCATTGTCATGGAGCAAAATTGCCTTGCCATGTCTTCTGGCCCATTCTGGTCGTTTCTTGATCAATGCATGGTTCAAATTGATCATTTGTTGTCGGTAGCGATCAGTATTGACGGTTTCACCAGGTTTTAGGAGCTCGTGGAACACCACACCTTTCTGGTCCCACCAAACACACAGCATTGTCTTCTTGCCGAATCGATCTGGTTTTGCAGTCGATGTTGATGGTTGTCCCGGATTAACCCATGATTTTTTCCGTTTAGGATTCTTAAAATAAATCCATTTTTCATCGCCAGTAGCAATCCGATGCAAAACCGATTTTCATTCGTGTCTTCGAAGCAAAATTTCACAAGTGTTTTTTCGGTTTTCCATCTGTCTTTCATTCAATTCATGTGGCACCCATTTTCCACACTTTTGGATCTTTCCCATAGCTTCTAAACGGTCAGAAATTGTTTGTTGTGCAAATTTAACATTTCTGCCATTTGCTTTTGACTCAAAGTGTCATCTCCATCCAATATCGTTTGCAATTCGGCGTCTTCAAACTTTTTTGGTGGTCTTCCACGTTCTTCATTTCTCACATCAAAATCATTATTTCTGAATCATTGAAACCATCTTTTGCATGTTGCTTCTGATAGAGCATGATCACCATATGCCTCGACAAGCATTCGATGCGACTCTGCAGCACTTTTCTTCAAATGAAAACAAAAAATTAATGCTTTCTGCAAATCATCACTTTCCGGTACAAAATTCGACATTTTTAACACGATGAAAAAATATGATGTTGTTTGTTCAATGACTTGATGTATACTAAATATGTTTCACAGATGTCATAGCAAACAAACAAAAAAAAATAAAGGCTCGTTCACAACAAATGTTCCCTATCGAGACATTTGTATCTTGACGCTCACTTCATACCGGTATACCTGGTATATATATATATATATATATATATATATATATATATATATATATATATATATATATATATATATATATATATTTATATATATATATATATATATATATATATATATATATATATATATATATATATATATATATATATATATATATATATATATATATATATATATATATATATATATATATATATATATATTAGGCTGGTTCTTAAAATAACTTTTTTTATAAATGACTTCTGGCACCCTCTGAATATGTTGTATATAATAAAAAAATTCTGGATTTAAAAATTTTTTGAATAAAAATTATTTTATGGGGTTGCTACAGACCTTCAAACATTAAATAGGTCCCTAATATTATAAAAAAAAAAGTTTTTTAAAAGTATGTCATCTTGGGTCTCAAACGAAGCGTAATTATATAAAAATTTAAAAAATTTAATCATTTTATAATTAATTTTTTATTTTAGATTTTAGTGAACAAAAAATTACATTTTTTAACTAAAAACGATTAATAAAGAAATTAACAAGATTTTTTAATTATAATTTTTTTTATCAATGTTTTTTTATAAAATGAATATTATTTTTGAAATTTTTATATAATTTCGCTTTGTTTGAGACCCAATAGCAAGCTTTGGCGTTAGCAAAAACTTTTTTACAATGGTTTCTAGCAGTAATAAATAGACGTCTGTTTTCTGGAGAAGTGTTTTGCTGAAAGATATGGAAGTAACAGTTACGATTGGAAATTGCAGCAGCACAGTGTAAAGAAAACCATAGAGAAGAGTGAAGTTTGACCTGGAATTGTTGAGAGGGAATAAAAAATTTCATGCCAGCCTGAATATACGAAGTTTTGTTAGAAGCACACTTGTCAGCAGGAAGACGAAAGCTTTCTACCCAAGGGCCATCATGAAGAAAATCACGGACTCCCAGTTAGCTTTAAAGTAGTTGTAAGAGGTACGATGATAGGGGAATTCTAATGATGAAGAAGAATGAGATAATAGTTTTAAAGAGATCAAATCGTGATTAGAAACACCTAAGGGTGATTGTGTAAAAACTGAGTACTGACTAGGATTAGAAACAAGGCATAGGTCTAGTAGAGAAGGTAATTGATTCGGGTTGTCTCGAGAGCGAGTTAGGAAGTTGATAATTATAGTTGGAGATTTAGAAAGGCATAAGTTGAGGGCCTTAGCGCCTGCAGAGTCACTGACACTAGAGCCAAGCCCTTCAGTGTGATGAGCATTAAAGTCACTAACAACAACAGTATTGGCTGATGGATAAAGAGATAAGGCTTGGTCAATAAGATCAGAAATAACATCGAATTCCAAAGAACTGATGTTCGAGGAAAAAACTAGACAAATAAGAGTTTTTGGAGCACTTAGGAACAGTAACAGAAAAAGGATGAGACTTAATTGAATGACGAGTAACACGAGAATGAATTTTAGTAGATGGCACAAGAGGCGCTAGCTCTTTGAAGCAGTGCCCATTATAGTATTTGTAGAAAATAGAAAGAGAAGCAACATTACAATGATGTGGCAGAGGTTGAAGGTTGGCTGCAAGAGCAGGTCCAACTATGGTTACAATGCGTTTTTGCACCTTGTCTAAAAGAGAAAGGGCATCATTAGAAGATCCACCCCAGATAAGGCAACAGTATTTCATTCAAGGCTGGATTTGAGATTTATAGAGATAGAGAATAGAATCCAGAGTAAGAAAGTGATGAGCTCAATAAAGAGAAGCGACTTTAGCAGATGCTAATTTTGCAACAGATTTGATATAAGGTTTCCAAGAAAGATCAGAAGTAAGAGCTAATTCTAGAAGATGAAGGGTAGGAGACTCATCGAGTACATTACCGTTCATAAATATAGCAAGGTCTAAATTATTGCGACAATGATTGGCTGAAAAAAATTGAGTTTTATCTGAATTAAAGTTCACCAGCCACTTTGAGACCCATGTTGTAGCAGAAGTGAGATCCTTTTCAAACTCAGATGTCCCCTGCAAGCAATCAGAGGGAGTTGGCTTCTTATCGTGACAAGAATAAATGGTAGTATCATCAGCGAACAATGCCACCTTAAATGTGAGAATATCTGGAAGATCGTTAATGTAAATTAAAAAGAGTATAGGGCCAAGGATTGAACCTTGAGGAACCCCTGAGGTTACAGAATAAGAAGAAGAGACATAACTATGGGAAGTTCTCATGGGGCTAAAATAAGTAAGTTTTTTTTTCTTCACACAACAGTAAAGATTATCGATCGCTATCCGTTATTTTATATAGACATAATGGTTTTTGTTGTTTTCATAGAATTAAATGAACTCAATCTGAGACAATCAAGTCTTTGTTGTTTTCATAGGATTAAATGAACTCAATCTGAGACAATGGAGCAAAACGTTTATATTTTTAAAAAGCAGATTAAAATAATTTAAAACTATAGGCTTTCGTGGGGTCGCATTTAATCTGCCAGAAAACATTTTTTGCTCACAGAGAATTTTTGGCGACCACTTTTTGTATAGCAACTCTTTATGCAGTTGTATGTAAATTCAGTGGTATGTAAATTCTTACCACTCTCCATATATCATTAAATCCATATCAAACATAGTATCCAATTGTATTAACAATATTTCATCCAGCAAAAGGGTTTTTAAAAGAGCTGCACCGTTTTACAAAAATACACCTGTAACATCAAAATATTACCAATGAAAAACTTTTTTTAGTTATATAGGCTCAACTAAGTATTTATTTTATTTATTTTTTCAACTAAGTATTTATTTTATTTTTTTTTTCAACTAAGTATTTATTAAAAGATCACTTGTATAAGTATAAAAGACATTTTAAATATATAAATATATATAATATATAAAAATATGAAAAACAAATTTAAAAGTAAATTCTTTCTTAAAATTATAGGCACTGCTTGAACTTAGAGAACTTTACCCAGCATTAGAAGTTGCTGAAAAAGCTGTTAAAATTAATACTCAATGGGCAGAAGGCTTCCAAACTTTAGGACGATGCCAAATCAGCTGTGGTGAGATAAAGCAGGTAAGTTTTTTTCTTATCATAAGTGAAAGGAAGATGTTAACTTGCAAATAGTTTTAAAAAAGATGTTAACTTGCAAATAGTTTTAAAAAATGAGCTAAATCATTTTTAAATCTAATCTAGTGTGTTTTAAGTTTATAAATTGATTTATTATCTAAACCTATTTATTATCACTCCTTAACCTTTTCATGCATGTATTGTTAGATATCACTTTTGTTCATTTTAAACTTCAAATAATGATATGATTACAATTTTTATTTATTTTATTTATACTATGTCCTAATTGGTTTTATATATTCAATATTTATAAATATTTTATTTTAGGCATTAAAAAATTTTTGCAAAGCTTTTCATTTAAATCCAATCTTAGATGAGGTAAGTGAGGTTAGGTTAGATGTAGTGAGGTCAGATAAACTTTTGATTTCAAATTTTCGATAGTTCATTTAAAATATTTTTATAGCTCGTAGCAGTTAAGGAGTAACACAGAAGACAACACTTATATATTTAATATAAAATGCGCTAAAACCAGTTTTGAAAGTCAGCTGCCATCTTGGTTGACCCAAAATATTTTTGTGTTTTGCATGGATTAATAGATATAACCAAAAAATTGCAAATGATAGAATAACTTGCTAGTTTTATTATGCTACCAATAACTGTTTGCTAACTGATTATCTAGTTTGCAATTCAATAAGTTTAATCATTCAGATAGATATAATTCAACATGAAATCAACATATTTGTAGCAAAAAATCCCAGACCGAAGATTCTTTTTTTTTTTTTTTTTAAATCATCTTAAAATCACAATCGTTCATCCAAATTTGAATAAGATTTTATATTATTACGTTTTTTAGGTGAAATGAACATTATAGTTTAACAAAATGATCTGTTCTGATCGTTTATTGGCAATTTTCCATAATATAATCTTTTTCTTATTTGGAGTTCTTGTATTTTTTGTGAAAATTGATAAAAATATTGTGATTTGACAACTGTATATAGTTAATATACGTCAGAACCAATTAGAACTAGGATCAGTAGTAAATTAAGGAACTTTTTCAAAAGATTTTAACTAAATTCATGACAATGCTGATGAGCAGAATTGATCTAAAGACTCCAAAATAGTGTTCTTTAGATTCACTGTTACGGGTAGTAAAAAGGTTTTGAAAATTATATATAAAAAAGAAAAGTTTCTTTAAATATTATAAAAACCTTAAGCAAAAAAAACTATAACATTTAAAGATCTTGTTTGGACATAATATGCTGACAAAACCATGCTAATTCCAAATAAAAGTATTCGAATATTTTGTAAATCACCTACACCGAGTAAGTAGTATAAATGTTTTTGTGGAAATAAAAACAAATGCTTGTGAGTTTTTTGTTTTTTTTACCATAAATAAAGACAAAAATATTACAAGGGTTGAATTAACGCATCGCGATTTGCGATATCTGTTAAATTATCTGGTCTTCAAAGTTTAAGTTTATGGAAAACCACGAAATTTACGGAATAGGCGAATAAACTTTAATTTGTTAGTGAAAATGTTATGAAAAACAAAACAATAAATTTATTACTACAAAAGTAATAACACTACAGTGTTGTTACTTTTATAACACTCTTTTAAGTTACATTTATAGTTTATTGTTTGATCAAACAACACCTAATCAAGATATTATAAATAGTTAAGTAATTCCAAACTTTAATTAAAGTAGTAATGCATCTAAAAAAGATACAATGGCTATTTAAACAATGTTAAAAACCTCAGCAACTTTTACGTATACATATTTTTATAAACAGTTTAGCATTTTTAAACATCTTACAAACGGTCCGGAAAAAACGCGCGTTCACTTTAAAATCAACCAATGAAAACACTGGTAATTTACTTAGGAGAAATCTATATTAAAAGGGGAGGGAGGGGGGGAGGCTAAAAACTTAAATTTTGTTTTATTATTTAATCAATTAAATCATAATAAAAGTAAAGACAAAAATATATATTTCTAAATATACTTCTTTATAAGTAAAATTTATTAAATTGAACATCTCTGTTTTTAGTTTTAAGTAAATGTCAGTACTACTCTCAGTGGCAAAACTGCGGGAGGGGGCTTTGGTTAACAGACAAAAAGTGTCCTGATTTTAAACTAATTTTAGATTGCATGGGCGATATGGGGCTGATTTTGAAAATCGTGTTATTTGTTTATAACAAGTCACTTGTTATAAAGAAAAAACTATATCTTAAAACAAAAATTCAGTGAAAATTGGCCTTAAAATTAAAAAAAATATACATTGGTAACTGATAAATAATAAAACTTTCATTGTAAAATCCTCCCGCTTTTTTTTATTATTTCCTCCTCCCATTTTATACATCCTGACTAAAATTCTCACCCCCACCTACCTTTGTATTAAGCACATTAGAGTAGTCAGTAACAAAATCCCGCCCCCCCTCCGCACGATTTTTAAATTGAGCCCCTTATCTCCCATGCAACCTAAAATTAGTTTAAAATTAGGACACTTTTTGTCTGCTCACCCCCCCCCCCCCCTCCGCAGTTTCGCCACTGAGAGTAGTACTGACATTTACTTAAAACTAAAAACAGAGGTGTTCAATTTAATAAACTTTAGTTATAAAGAAGTATATTTAGAAATATATTTTTTTGTCTTTACTTTTATTATGATTTAATTGATTAAATAATAAAACAAAATTTAAGTTTTTAGCCTCCCCCCTTCCCCCCCTTTTAATATAGATTTCTCCTAAGAAGTATATTACCAATGTTTTCATTGGTTGATTTTAAAGTGAACGCGCGTTTTTCCCGGACCGTTTGTAAGATGTTTAGAAATGCTAAACTGTTTATAAAAATATGTATTCGTAAAAGTTGCTGAGGTTTTTAACATTGTTTAAATATCCATTGTATTTTTTCTAGATGCATTACTACTTTAATTAAAGTTAGGAATTACTTAACTAAATCATTTTTATTTATAATATCTTGATTATGTGTTGTTTGATCAAATAATAAGCTATAAATGTAACATAAAAGAGTGTTATAAAAGTAACAACACTGTAGTATTATTACTTTTGTAGTCATAAATTTATTGTTTTGTTTTTCATAACATTTTCACTAACAAATTAAAGTTTATTCGCCTATTCCGTAAATTTCGTGGTTTTCCATAAACTTAAACTTTGAAGACCAGATAATTTAACAGATATCGCAAATCGCGATGCGTTAATTCAACCCTTGTATTATATGAGGATCCCGGAGCTCAAGGGTCCCAGAGGTCTAAGTAGCAAAAGCAAAATTTTACGTTTTTCTAAGAGGGAAAATTAAAATGGCATTAATTTAACAGCATATTGGAAGAATAATCAGGGTTTTGGGTTTTTATTAATATAATAATAAGTATTTCAATATTCAGATTTCATGAATGAAATATAGTTTTTTGCTGATACTGAGATCTGTTCAAACTCTAGTGCTCCAAATTTAAACTACACACAGGTGGTTGAGACTACGCTAAGTGGTTGAGATGTACTACGCTAACCATAGTACTTTCCTGTAAAAATCTCTTGGACCTCTTTACCACTAAATAGTTTATTATTTTCACAACCTGTTTATGCATATTTCTCTTTTTTAATTTTAAAAATGCCACTTGATCTTTGGAGTCTATATATATAGAGAGAGGTAGATACGATATATAGATACATATATAGAGAGAGATCTATATAGAGAGAGATAGATAAGATATATAGATACATAATTTCATCAAATTTGTTTCAGAATTGAGCCTAGCAACATGTAAAAAAATAGCTTTTGTTAATAAATAAATTGGTCACATAATCAAAAATGATCCATCAAGTTATCTTAACATAATGAAAGAATTAGAAAATTTATACAAATGCTTTAACTAGATGCTTTCATTTATGTTCCACCAGTATAAAGTTTGATTTTTTAAATTGTTTTGTATTTATTTATATGGTGCTCCTTTGTGGCAAAATACTTTTTCTTTAGTGTTTTTATATTAAATTTTTTATTGGTAATAACAAAGTAATCTCCAATGTTGTTAAAGATAAAATTACAACTTTTAATTTGCAAATTACAACTTGTAATTTGTTGACTTTTTGTAATCAATTGATTGCTTGTGTTAATGTAAAGTTTTCATCCATGCAATTAATCAAATTTGAAATGAAATTGTTTCATAAAATAAATAAAAAAGTTAATATTTAATAAAACTATATTTTTGTACATAATAACGTTAATGTTTTGTAAAATAATTTGTATGGTATAACAATAAATATTCTGAAATAATAGTTTTAGTAGTTATGAATTATGAAGCAGTTATGTGGCTTTTTTTTTTTTTTTTTTTTTTTGAGAGGAGTTATAAGAATGCAAACAAACTGTCTTATGCAAGGCTTTGTAGCCTATTCAAAAAAATGGCTCCAGCTCCAGACTCTATTTCAAAAAAATCTACAGCTCTGGAGCGGCTCCAGAAGTACAGATCAAAAAATAAAAAGTTTTCTTGAAATGTTTAAGTGACATCATAAATATCAGGTGACACAGATTCAAACTTAAATGCAGATAGTCTCTACACTTAAGTGCTTAAGTAGCCTCTCTACGGTTGCTTATGAGAAAGCTATAAATGTTCTGTATCCTTTTTGGGTATTTTTTAATTTCCTCAAAAGCTGATTTCACTTTTAAACATACCTCTTCTTCCATTACTTTACAGTCATCCATGAAATTAGTATTAAAAGGATTTATTTTTTTAAATTAATTTTGGTCGCATTTCTCTATTTTTCTTTTTTATCAAGCTCTTTTTATAACTTGTCTAATTCTTTATCAGAATTAGATTCACATAAAACTGAATAAAATGCTGTAAATGATTCAGCTGTTTTTCTTATTTCTTGACTTACTGTTATATTTTTAGCATTTTTTTAGCAAGTTATTTTCTGTTATTGCTTTTAAACCTTGTTCTGCTGATTCTACATCTAGCATCAGCATAAATTGCAGCTAAAATTCATTGTAATTTAGTCCATATCAAAGTCACCCTTTAGCATAACCTGTTTGTTTTCAGAAAAAGTTTTTTAAATTCTTAAGTATTAAACTCCTTTGGGTTCATTGAAGGATGCCATAATATACAGCGAGTGATTATTTTTTTTTTTTTAAAGAATTGATGATTTTTATAAAGATAGATTCCAATTATTTAGAGACATAATATAAGATATTTTTAAACATTTTAATTTAGGTTTGATTGTAACTATAGAAGAGCTTTTATAGAAGAGCATCTCCTTTTTTAGCTTTTAAAGAAGAGCATTGTTTTTGTTTTACAGCTATTTATATTTATGTCAGTTACATTGGAATCTTGATGTATAATTTAGATTCCGAAATTCCAAATATTCTAGGAAGAATGTTAAATGAACTTATGAGATTGCAAAGATCAATAAAAAAGTGAAAAGAACCTATGTTCAAATGAAGGTACAATTCAGAATTTGATTTTAAATTTTTATTAAGGTCAAGAATATCATAATATTTGCAGTTATTAAACGTGTTAGAAATTTTATTAAAATTTAAAATATTAGTTGGCAGAATCTGACTTTTTAAGTTAAAGAAAATTCCAAGAGTTAAGTCCTAAATATTCTTAATTATGCAGTTACTACAACACCAGAAAAGTTTATGACAAAAAGATTATATGAGAATTTGTCGATACCATATACCCAAGAGAAAAACAATCACATCCTCTATGATGATTGGCTGCTGCTTTGTTGCAAAACTTGCAATGGTATTTAATTGCCATGTAAAGATTTAAGTAAAAAATAAAACAGTAATATATAATAGTTTAATATAAATCAATAATAAATAAATATATGAGTATATATTATAATAATAAAAGCATATAGTAATAAATGAATTTATAATGTTGTAATTATAAAAAATAGGTAGTATTAAAAAATTTTAATAGATAATCTAATGCTCAATAATTTAAAAGCAGATAAAATATGCATTTCAATTAAATATACTACTAAAAAAATATTGAACGAAAAAATATTGACTATATTAACTAAAATAACTAATACAATAGGAGAAAATTAGTAATAATATAATTAGATAGACAAATAATAATAAATTATTACAAAAGAATTCGTAAAAAAATAAAAACAATCTTCTTAATCTACGTTTATAATTTTTTTCCTAATTAGTTTACTTTTTCTTCTTATTTTTTCTTTTTTATTACTTATTTATTTCTACTCTTTGTTTCTTTTTAATCGTTAACTTTTTCTTCCTTCTTTTTTTCATCAATTTTTTTATGTTTAACCCCGTCCCGAAGAGATTTTAAAGAAGGGGGGAGGGGTACGTATCTGTTTTTTGCTGACTAAGGCCAAAAAAAATTTTTTGCCTACTAAGATTAAAAAAAACAACTCCTTGTTAGCTGGTATTTACCGACTGCCAATTATAGATCCAATTTTGCCGATTCCAGTGTCCATTATGATGACTAGTAAATTTAGTCGGGGGGCTAAACACCCTTCTAGGCCCCCCTCGGGATGGCCCTGACCTTTTACCTCCCTCAACCTATTTTTTGACATAATTACTAGACAGCCCTTTATATGTTTTTTTAAATTAATTTATAAGATTATTGATTTTTGTTGATTATAGTATTGATTTTGAAGTAATAGGATTTATTGCTTATATCATATATCTCAGCTGTATTTAAACATTGCTCAAATAATATTTGTTTATTTCAATATTCTAAATGTTATTTGAAAGAATTGAAGAAGACAATCACTTAGCAAATAATTTCTTATAGAATAGCATAATCTTCCAAATTTACTTACGAATAAACTTACGAATTACTCAATTATTTGTTGCAATATTTTAATTTGGTTTTAACAAAGTTTTCAGTAAAATTCCAAGATGGCGGCCAGCTTTCATAAAAGTCACGTGATGTCGTTTCCTGTTTATTAAACCTCCTTGGTAGCCGTATTGTTTTTGTTAAATGGAATAAGATCTATAACTAAAGCAAAACTGGTTAATGAGAAAAAAATCTTTGTTTTACATTTCAATAATAGAATAGTAATGAAATTTTTTTTTATCTTTCCACATTATTCATTTTTTCTTTACATTCTATTTTTAGTTACATTCTATTCTTAGTTACTTTCTATTTTTTCTTTTTCTAATAACAATTCTTTAATTTTGTATATTATTATTTTTTTCTATTTCTTGAGTTTTATTTCTAATGTATTAATCATGAGTATCAGGTGTGCGCAAAAAAGAAGTTGAATTTATCGAAAAAGTCAATGATAAATTTTGCGGTATCATAAAATATAAATGTTTGTTGCGAAAAAATCCAGACCGATGATTCCTTTTTTTTTAAAAAAATCATCTTAAAATCACAATCGCTCGTCCAAATTTAAATAAAATTTTATATTTACAAGTTTTTTAGCTGAAATGAACATTATAGTTTAACAATATGATCTGTTCTTATAATTTATTGGCAATTATTTATAATTATAAGCTCTTTCTTGGTCGGAATTCCAGTATTTTTTGTAAAAATTGATAGAAATATTGTGTTTTGACAACTATAAATAGTTTATATACGTCTGAACCGATTAGAACAAGGATCAGTAGTAAATTAAGAAACGTTTTCAAAAAATTTTAACTAAATTCATATTTATGCCGATGAGCGGCATTGATAATAAAGACTCCAAATTAGTGTTCTTTTGATACACTATTACGGGTAGTAAAATGGTTTTGAAATTATATAATTAAAAAAAAAGTTTCTTTAAATATTATAAAAACCTTGAGCAAAAAAAATTATAGCATTTAAAGATCTTGTTTGGACATAATATGCTGACAAAAAAATGCTAATTCCAAATAAAAGTATTTGAATATTTTGTAAATCGCCTTAACTACACCGAGTAGTTATTTTTTTTTAATTTTAATATTTTAATGTAATGTACCTTTTAAATGAAGACCTTTACTCAAAATTTTTAGGATATCCTACTAAAACATGAAATTTTGTTATTATGGCAAATGTTTTAAATGCGATGCTATCATTGTATTTCACTCGTATCTCGCATTCTTTAGTATGCGCAGTGGCGTTCCTAGTTATGGTGTCACCCGGGGCGGCAAATAGGGTGTCACCCATATATTATATGTAATTATTTTTATATACGAAATTATTAAAGCAGTATTTAGAAACGTTGACACATGTAATTTTAAACCTTGTTTTCGACAATAATAAGAAAGCTAAGCGATTATATTTTCTAAATAATGATAACTATATCTTTCAGCATTCAGCATTTCGTAGGTCGTGCAAATAAATACCCACTTATTTTTTTATGTAAGACTGTTTAATTATAAACCAAAATAAAATATAAGATATTAATAAATTGGGTGTCACCCAAAAGTGGATGACACCCGGGGCGGTGAGCCCCCGCCCCCTCCCCTCCCGTAGGTACGCCACTGAGTATGCGTGATACGTATCTTTTTATTAGTAACATTCCGTTCAGTTTGGGAGAAGTAATTATTGCGAATCTATGGCGTTTGATCTTTAAAGGAATAAAAAGGAGGACTGAATAATGGGAAAAATAAACAGATTTTATTTCTCGAACAATCAGAAAAATTCGTTCACGAATACGCAGTAACCAATACGTTGCTTATGCTTTTTTAAAAATTTTATTGAATTCAAAAAGTAATTTAGATTAGTGTGTTAGTCTTTTGCCAGAAAGTTTGAAAGAACTCTAGTGGATAGTATGCGCATTAAAAGTTTACCAAACGTTAGATGGCAGTTTTTTTTTTAATTTAGCATAGTGCAAAACCAGATTTTTCTTCAAATAAAATTAATGTTTAAAAACAACATTTAAATAAAGCATAGAAAATTTATTTATAACTAAGACATTTCTTTAACATATCCAAAGTTCTTTAATATATCAAAAAAATTTTAAAATAATCACAAAATTGAGGATAAACAAATTTTTTTTTGGTTCAATAAAAAAAAGTTGCAGTGCAAATTTGCTTTCACTTTCAGATATTAAAATTTTTGTTGATTTTACACCAAGTAACGTTAACAGCAGAAATATCTGAGTCTTTAGTACATGGCGTTCTAGACTTTCTAAAAGTTCTAAAATGCCGTGAGACATTTAAATCTTCGGTTAAAATTAGTGTAAAATCACCTATATATATGCCACCACTAAATCCTGGTCACTTTTTAAAAAGTTTATTATAAATATCGAGTAAGTGGCTTCCCAAATCTTTAAAAATTAAAATAAAATCCAACTTTTATTTTTGGCACCTCAGTTTGTTACATACGATAAACGCAACGTTATTTTATATGCGTTTGATAACTATTTTAAATTTGTATAAACTAGGGCAAATATTCCGACCGTGAAAACAAAAATGCGAAAAAACGTTTTACTGATCTTTTTAAAAACAATCATATAAGTTATCTCAATTAATATTGTATGTTCTCGTAAAAATAACTTTAACTTGAAATTGAAATTACATCGTTTAGTAGTGCTTATCTTGTCACTGTTGTTTTTGTTATTCACAAATAATTACCTAAACTATATGACCACATGTTAACCTATTCTATGTCATGAATAACCTATTCTATGTCTAGTTATAAAATAAGTTGATTTAGAATAAAAATGTTAGTTTTAAATATAAATTAATACTAAATATATTTTAAAACTGAAAGTTTTATATTATATGAATGAAGTCATTGTAATACTGTTGTCTTATATGAATGACGTCATAGTAATATTGTTGTTTTATATTATTGCTATTTTATTTAAGCTTTATCCAAAAAAAAATATTTTTTACTTTTAAGTTATATGAAGAAGATATAAAATGGGCTCAACAACTACTTGTACAGCAACAACAAGTTCAGCAAAATCAAGTTAAACAACCTTGTAATAATTGTCTTCTAAGCAAGGAAGTAGAAACTTCTATTTTGTATAATTTTGATTAAAATAAAACTATGGTATAAACTTCATTTTTGTTGATTAAAATGTTTTAAATAAATGAATTTCAGTAATCATTAGTGGATATACAGAGGGTCCAAATATCTTACACTGTTCAAAATTTGATGAATATGTTAGTGATGTTTTTGTTCACTGCTTATTTTAAATTACTTACTTTATGCGGTTCTCCGTTAAGTTTGATGACATACCGTTGATTTTAATGGATTTCGGTTTATATGGTTTTAAGTATTATATGAGATTGCCTGTAATTCTTTAAAAAAATTTTAATCCTTGCATAGCCAACGTTTTTTATTTGGTTTGTGTTTAAAGCCTAGTTTTAATGATAAATCCTAAAGGTTTAAAATGTAGTTTTAATGATAAATAAAACAATAGTTTATGCTCTATTGTACTTTTTTAAACATTTTTTGCGTCACTTTTATTTGTAAGTGAGTTCTACACTGGTGTTCTATTTTAGGTCTAGCATAAGGCGAATTTCGAAACTAACCTCGTAAACACAAGGCATGTTTTAGACTAGGACGGATCCGGGGGGGGAGGACGATGGGAGAGATTGCCCCCTCCCCTCCTCCTCCTCCCCCCCACCCACCCACCCCCCACCCCCATCACCCCTCCTTCCTTCTTTATTATGTTTTGAATTTTTTTATTTTTGTAAGTTTATATATTAAACACAGCAAGTTGTTTGAAAACGGAAACGATATAGTTAGGCTGTCTAAATAAAATTACAATTTTAATAAAATTGAAAAATTGTGTTGATGCTTGCTTACAAATCATAAAATCTGAAAATCGCCATCCCCCATCCCTCCTCTCACTGTTTTATAAGTAATTTATCACATTTAAAGTAGAAACCTCAATACATGCAATCAATTCGGCAATGCTGCTGTGAAATATGATAATAAATCCACACTTTATAGAGAAATTGCAAATTGTAATGGAGTTTGGTCAAAATGTGAATATTTTACACCAACTAAACAATCTTTTCATGTTATAATTACAAAACTTCAAGCAAATCATTTTTATGAATGATATGCTTGAAGAAGGCTATACATTTGTTTTTGCTTTCATTATAAAAATGAATGAGAAGCACTTATATGTCCACTTATATAAATATATATTTTTTTCTTTCTTTTTCTGTTTTATAACATAAGATTTTACAACGTGCTTCATAAAAAAAAAAGTAAGTAAAAACAGATAGGGGCTCTAAGAAGATGAGGATAACAGTACGTCATCGCAATCTTTTCATAGAGCCCCTTTAACAAAATTTCAATAAAATATCGTATTATGTAATACGTAATAAAATTTCATAAAACATTTCGTAAAATATATACATAATAAAATTTCAATTAAATATCGTAAAAAAAATTCGCTAATAAGATTGTTAAACAACAACAACAAGAACAACAAAAAGTAGAGTGTTAACATTAACCAAAAAAGTTTTTTAAATTAAAAAAAAATATTTTTCGTTAAAAACTTGAATGAATTTAACGAATTTACCGTACCTTTAAAAGGTATTTCATACTATAGGACCTAGATATGAAATGCTATATTCTGAATATTTATTAATTATCTGAGGCAGTTTATATGTGTTTAACATATTTGTTCTAAGATTATAGTTTTCATTTTTATTTAATTCAAACTTGTTATTAAAGCTTATAGGAGAGATATTGTAATTGTAACGATACATGAAAATTAAATGCTGTTATACATATATTTCAAACACATTCATCATTTTCATATCACTCATTAAGGGTTTAACGTGTTCACGCCTATTCTGCAAGCATATTTTTGCAAACTATACAGTTTTTTAAGCTTTGATGTTTGAGTACTTGCCAATGAAATGTTTGCATAGCTGATGAAGCTATGTATTAGCCCAAAGTAGGTTAATTTCAGACTTGGTGTATTGACGTAAGAGCAAACTCAATATAACTATATCACTAGGTATCTCATTGCAATAATTATATCACTAGGTATCTCATCAAATCCTGGTACTTTTTTTTTTTTAAAGAGGCAAAAGCTACCTCAAATTTGCCATAGCTTAATTCGTAATCATGCATTATAACGTTATTCGTGGGTTTAAGTTTTTAAAAGATTCAGGTGTTGGTATTATTTTTTTGACAAGGTTCGGACCAATACTAATAAAATATTTATTAAATTCATCCGAGATGAGTTTTTGACAAAATATATTGTTGTTTTCAATAACAATTCGTTCAGGTAGTGAAGGTGAATTTAGTTTTTCTCTTCCCATTATTACATTAAGAATGGACCATGTTTTTTTGCTATCAAATTTACATTTGTTATTTTGATTACTGTAATATTTTTTTTGACATTTTTAATGAGATCTTGATAAAAATATTTATAACTTTTGTTTTTTTTTATAACTTTTGTAATTTTTTTCAAATATTTATAACTTTTGAAATATTTATAACTTGAAATATTTATAACTTTTCAAATATTTATAACTTTTGTAATTTTTTTCATTATTATTGTTTTTATTTTTCAGAAATTTATTGTAAAGTTTTTGCTTTTTTTTTGAGCACTTTAATAATGATTTATCCATCCACTTTTGGCTTAATTCTTATAATCTCTTGAGGATAGGTTTCTTTAAAATATTCCAAAAATGTACTTAAAAAAGCATTGTAAGCTTCATTAGTATCTTGACATTTATATACGTTGTTCCAAGTTTCTTGTTTTAGCCTACTTGTTAACTCATCAGTGTTACTCATTTTTAAATTTCGTTTTTTCAAATTTATGGTTTTAGATTGACAGTCAGACGTAGATTTATGGTTTTTTATTTTTAAGAATATCGGGATCGCTTATCTGCCATAAATATATCGGGATCGCTTATCTGCCATAAATATATCGGGATCGCTATATCTGCCATAAATATACCGGTTTCGAATGTCGTTTCTAATTAATTGTTAATTAAAATAATGTTTATTGCTGTTGCCGAAATTTTTGTTACACGCGTTGGTTCATTAATAGTTGACAAGACATTAAACTTAAAAATCATATCAAAAAAAGATTTTATTTTTGGAAATTTAGTGTTAGATAAAACATCAAGATTTATTTCACCAGTAATATATAATGTTTTATTTTCTTTATTTATTTTCATAATCGCATTTTTGATAAAAGTTTCGAAGTTTTTTATTTTTCCACTCGGTGGACGATAAACACATCCAATTAAAATATTTCGGTATTTTTTATTAATAATTAATTATTAATAAAAAATACCGAAATATTTTAATTGGATGTGTTTATCGTCTTTTAATCGTTCTAACTTTTTGGGAATATATATAATTATATGTATTCACAAAAAATTTTCCCAATGGCCAATGATGGCAAAGCAGCGGCTTGCCACTGCATGACTTGCAGAACAACGATTAGCCATTACTACACCATACCATAGCGATTTTGTCATTGATAACTGACTGGGTCGCGCATGGTATTGTTATGGGTTTCCATCCTAGTTGAAGCTCATATATTTTCCTTTTGAACCCTATTTCCTTAATTATTTGAAGTTGCTTTTAGCAAAATCGGCTGTAATTTTTTGGTTAAAAATTAGCGTATTTTTCATTAGTTTAAGGACAATAAAATGTATTAAACACATGATAATTGACATTTTTGATTTTTATGAATAAATTTAAAAAACAGAATTGGATTTCAAAATACATTTAAGCGACAAAAAACAATTAACTGATTCATAACCATTCGGGAATGGTGCTTTTCTGCGATTATTATCCAATCGCCGACATAATTTGTTATAAAGGTTTGTTTTTTTCATTAGTGCTTGCATCCATTTTAACATTAATAAAATAAAAATAAGCATATGCGCAACTTAAGGTGGTCCGTCTAGTAAAAAAATAAATATATATAATTTTTGCAAAGTTTATTTATTTTTCAACATAAAGAATATATATTTATATTGCAAAAAAAAAAATGTATCTTTTTTAAATGCTGAATCAGCAACTTAATATTCTTAAAACACCGCTTTTTTAAAACAAAGTGTTATTGCTATCTATAGATAAGTTTTGCATGAATTTTGGTGTGTGTGCAGAATATATACAAAACCAGTATGTGAACCAGTAGACACTAATAATTATTTTTAGATCCATAATGGCAGATATACATATTTGGGAAATAAAGTTAGGGGTAAAGTTTAACAAAAACCGTCTTATAATTCCTAAAATACTTTAAGAATTAATTTGATCCTGGTTCACATACCACCTTATACACAGATGAACAAACCTTGATTTTTCATTTAAAAATGAGTAATTTTTAAATGAAAAGAAACTATTTTAGAAACTGAGATACATGAGTTTTAAGTATGAAAAATTACAAAGAGAGAAAATTGGCACAAAAAAAATATATATATATATATAAAATGGTCCTTTAGAATAACTCCTTCTTTGTGGTATTTTTTTATCAAAAATTCTAAAATTATTAATAAATCCTTAAAAATTCTAATTCCTAAAGGAAACATTTATTTTCAATTTTGGTTACGATTTTTGGCCCAAAGAGCGTTGTTGCTAAAGAGAAAACTTAATGAAAGAAGTAAATTTTAGAAAAATTTATTAAAAAAAGTGTGTATAAGTATTTTTTTTTTTTTTCATTTTTATTAAAGTGCCCCAAAAAGACGGAAGTGCATTTAACCAGGCAGAAGTGCATTTAACCAGGAAGTTCACACCTCCTTCCTTACCGTGACGCGAAAATATGTCCAAGGCTCGTTTCGAACCTGAATCTCTTGCTTATAAAGCAAGCGCTCTACCACTGCGTCAAGCCGCACGTATATATTTAAAAAAAGTTAAACTATATTTTTTTTAAAAGAGCACAAATTTTTCTTTAAAAAAAAATTTCAGAATTTTTCTACTAAACGACCACCTAAATAATTTATTACATATATACTTATACAACGTAGTAATAACATATATACAACATGGTCACAACATATATACAACATGGTTATCAAGTTTAAATTTCAACTATTTTTATTATCGACAAAAAAGTTTAACTCAATAAC